GTGCGGGCCATGTTTAATACTAGTGTTACATAAAAAGAGCGTAAATAGCTCATGCAGGCTCATTACTATTATTTATAGCACGTTATGTGTAGTGATTGGAAGAGCTATCACCAGGCTCCAACCTGATTGGTTTACTTTTAAAGTTCCCCCAGCAGTACTACAGTTTCATTGGCTACTAAGTCCTATTCTTTTTCTTTTTTAACCTTTTTTTCTTGCCCCAATTTCACTAAATCTCGCTGAAATACTTTTCCCCCCAAAATTACTGCCTTGAATCTGCATTACTATCGCAACACAGTTCTGTATAATTTTCTGGAGAAAAAAAATGTACTGTCCCCGCATCCCTAAATATATTCTACACACCTCCTTAACTCAAAATACGTCATCCCCGAAATCTTATGCAAAAACAGGATTTTGCTGTGCTTAAAGTGACAGGAATTTCTTTGAAAACTGCAATGCATAATGCAAATAATATAGTTACAGTATGAAACTTGTTTTCTAAGCCCTGGAGAAGCATTTCAAACAAGCACAAAATGGCGGCGAATGTCTGGCTTCTCTAACAATACTCTGGAGCAAGAGTGCAACTACTATCACACTGTAGAGATAATAACCCTGGAGCAGAGGGCAAGGGACTACATCCGGGAACCGGACTGTGGACAGGAAAAATTATTTACAACCTCCGCACATATGCTCACAAATTATTAAATTCTTAAACAAGAGTGGCTAGCGTCACCTACTTATACTGCAAAGAAGTTCCGTAGATTCGACTCTCTGATTGGCTAAGTAAGTTCTAAGAAACAGCCAGTGAGAAAGCAGATCTCGCATCCTTTATTTGCATAAAGTCCAGCCTCTCCACAGGAGGAAGAAACATTTCAGTGACTTCTAAATCGAGGACTCGTTTTAAAAGCCGTGTTCTTAATGAAGTGTTTCATGTAGTATGTTGAAATATATGCCTTTGCTTTCAGAAAAAGTTCATCTTATGGAATCTCCCTTAGAGGAAAAATGGTTTCCTCTTATACGTGACCATTGTTCAAATTAAGACGTGCAGATTTTCTTAGAAGTTTCTTACAGTTGGATGATGCATTTTGAAATAGTTTTTAAAACGGTCGAAATAGTACACAAGATGGAGGAAGTGCTTATCTAGGAAGAAGCCGCTGGTCGCTGTTCCTGAAAAGGGAACAGCGTATTCGCAGTTTTACAATACTGCGGACCTGTTTGAAAGCCACAGGCGCGCGCGGGAAGGCAACGTCATCGTTCGCCTCTGCCTGAGGGGAAGCAGTTTCCCACCGCGAATCGTGATGTTGATTCCCTAAAGCCGGCGTTCGAACGAGCACCTAATTTTTCAACACTTACAATCAGATTCATAATCTTAAAACCTTTTGGTGCCGCTGATGTTAAGCCCTCATGCAGCTGCAAATAAAGTTAGATTGCCCTGAATGTCAGTCAGAACCGTTTAGCTCACCCAGCGCTTAATGCCTCCTATGCTACCTGTTGAGCTTAATAA